CTCATCCAACCCCCCTTTTCAAAGCACAGTGAACTACAGCAGGTTGTTCAGATGTCCAGCTGGGTTTTGAATATCTCCAAGGATGGAGACGCCACAACATGCCTGAGCAACCTGCTCCAGTGTTTGGCCACACTCACAATGAGAAAGGGGGTTTTTTTATGCTTAAATAGAGTTTTCTGTATAAATAAATAGATAAATAATCCAATACAATGAAGGCCAGATAAAAATTGCTTTTGAAGTCCTGGGTTTTCACCGATTGCAAGGAATTTAAAGGGCCCTTTAAAATAATTGAATTGTTACAGTAGCAATAGACTCCCTGCTTCAGGTCAGACCTATAATGTTTGACCAAACTTGCTCTATTCCTGTTTTCACTTGCATTGGGATTATGCCACATGTGATATTATACAGCTGAAATAAATAACAACTGGATTCCTAAAATAGCAATTAATAGCAGCAACTCATTGAAATAATATGGCCTTCAAGAAGGAGCACAGGCTCCAGTACCCTGGAGACTGATACTTAATATCCAGCTCGGATGATGCTTCCTGATAACTATTGAGTAGTCGTGTTGGCTGGAGTTAATCTGCCGTAGTTTAGATGTCTACATCTCTCCTAATCATTACAAGGTGCTCTCATACCAAGGGAGAAAGAGGCATCTCCAGACCATGATTTTTCTCATAGTAGGAGAGTTGTCCAATGCAGAGAACAGCAATTGCACTTTCTGCATGGACTATACAGCCTTGGTTGACTAGCTCAGTCCTAGTCGCCTAACTTTTAGATGTCCAGAATCTGAAGCAGAATCTAATTGTTATCTTCCTGTCCTTTGTTTTCAGCATTTACAGAAGGATAACAATATGTTCTGTTATAGAAATTGCTTATAAAATTTCTTCACCAAAAGCGTTGTTGAGCACTGGCACAGGCTGCCCAGGGAAGTGGTGGAGTCACCATCCCTGGAGGTGTTTAATAAACACGTAGACGTGGTGCTGAGGGACATGGTTTAGTGATGGACTTGGCAGTGTTAGGTTTATGGTTGGACTTGATGATCTTGAAGGTCTTTTCCAACCTAAATGATTCTATGATTCCATGAGTCTATAAAAGCACTGTACAAAGCCTAAGTCTCAAAACAAATAACTGTAGAGTAAGGTAACTCCTGAGAGCCAGACTAAGATTGTGTTCGGGGAGGCACATCTCAGCCTTGAACAACATCCAATATGCTGGAATTCACACTGCCCTCTCTGCAAGAACATTCCCACTTCTTGCCCACCCTGAACAGCAATTCAATATCAGATTATTTTCTCATCATTTGATCAGATCTATATTTTATCTCTTCCTCTGTGGCTCATATGGTTATGAAATATGAACAGCTACTGTGTCTTCTTTTTGCCATGGTATTATTGCCAAATCTGGCAATTCAATCTCTCAAGCCACTTCACCAATTCTATTTTTGATGTCCTATTTCCTTGCCCGGCATGAAAAGCAATGGCAGAAAGTGCATGGAAAATACAGTTTCACAAGTCGTAATAATTCTTAGTCGAGTAGTTGTTATGTCCAAGCAGAAGAACAGAATGACTTCTCTTGCAGGATGGCAAAAAAAAGCTTCCAGTTTTCGTGTCATTTTCTAGTTGTAAGCAGTGCGATGCGGACTTCAGAAAAGCCTGGGGAAGTTCTGCCAGTGGTGGACATGAGGCCAGTGTTTCACTCAGCACATTCAGGACAGCTACAGTAGACACTGGCATGCCTGCAGGTTCAGGATCTGGTCCTTTCACATTAGAAATAATTTGTATGTGTTCCTTAAAAAGAAGGAAATCTGAGAAGCAGTGCATGGAGCTCATCCTGGGACATGCTGAGCAAGGTGCGAGTTGCTGAATACCTAAGAGGGGACATACTGTTTAGAGATAACTTAGCACTAGTAAAAAATGCCGTATTGCTTGCCTTGGAGAGAGATGTCTTCTGTATAGCCCTGGAAGTGACGTGTTGTTGGTGGGATTCCTGCAGCAGTGTGGGAGAGCTCAGTGCTGAGCAAACGGAGATGAACCGTTATCCCAACCCCACAGCACTGACAGAACGGGCGTTGCGTTAAACCAAATCAACATGAGAAAAAGGATTTATTTAATGCTTAGGAAACATCCAGTTACATTTACAACTACAAAATGTTTTTACAAAGCACTAAAAAGTGCCGATTTCCCAAATTTAGATGAATTTCTACAATTATTAATTCAAAGACATTAAGCATGCAAGATATTAGGATAGAGAGCTGTCTTGGAGGTATAAACACTGCTAAAGATCTGATGACGTCAGAAATACTACATGACAGACTCTTTCTTTTAAATCACATAACACAAGTGTATTCCATATGAAAGGATTTGGTTTGTGTAGTATATATACATTCATAACTCGGCTGGCTCAGCTCCATCGATTCCTGAAGCTGTGTCATTGGCACCATCTATTTTCTGCACACACAACGCGGCAGTGATGAGTGTGGCTGAAGTATCTATACAGAGCCACAGTAGCATGTAAGGAAACATCCTGGGCAAAAAATAGCTTTCACTGAAAAAAAAGTCCTTTACAAACAGGAATAGTTCCTAAACTTAGTGGGGGTTTAAAGACAGATTGTTTTACGATAGGGTTGGAAGAGGTTTCGTGTCTATTTTTCTTTCTTCTCTCCCCCTTTTTCCTTTTGTCTTTCTCCCGTTTTACCTTCATTTTTTTTCTACTTGTATGAGGACAGGGCAAAAGCTCTCACTAAAGGACTTAGAAAGAAAAGAAAAAAGAACAGGAAAATAGACAAGGAAAAGAAATATACAGGTGGCAAAAACCAACTCAAAATATTTCATTTATTAAATTATAAGCTTTCTATTAACTTTTTAAGTGAGCTATGTTTCCTTTAGAAATATATGGACCAGAAGTGGATTTATTGACAAATGACAAGTAGTAGACATAGACAGACTGAGATTTGTGGGTTATGTTCAGGTTGTTTCAGGGTACTCATCACATAGACTCAGCAGTTTTGTTGCTTTACACACAGTGGTGCTTAGTGTAAGCTTTAGAGAGCAGAGCCTCTCTTAATGTGGGTTTTTATAGCACCAAACTCAGTGCGTGTTGGGTTCCAAGTGTTGTTAGAGCACAAAGTAAATAAAAAACAATGGGAAGAGGATGGGATTTTAGTGTATTCCCACTGAAGTTGATGCTGTATGCTTCACTGTAAGAAAAATTATCAGAAGCATTCAGCTGGATCTTGAGTGTGATTCTATCTGTTTCTGTCTTGTTCTTTTGCCCTCCACACATTCACCCTCCTCTTATTTGCACAAGATACAGCACTATTATCTTAGTCCCTCTCAAAGCCCTGGTGGTACTAACTGATCTCAGAAAACCCCAGAGGCATTTCACAAACTAAGGGCTTGGGCTCTGGAGGGGACCTGATTCCGCATTGTTTTGCTATAGCAAAATTTTGGGAACGAGGTCCTTTCTCCACGTGCTGTTATGCCAGGCACGTGTGACAACTGCAGAACTGTCATCACAGCCCCTCTGAGATCTGTTCTTTTCCATACTTGGGTGCTAGTTAGAGGGCTGATGATTAAATGGCACATTGAGGTCAGGGTGCATATCACGGGCAAGATAGCGCTCCACCCACCACGGGTGCTGGCTAACATCTTGGTATCCCATTGCATGGTCACTTCTTATTGATGGGTCGCCGTAGGCTCTAGAGATGTTCCCCTGATGTAGCAGTCTGAGGAGGAAGGAACATCCTAGCTGCATTGTGGAGACCCCTGACAGCACAGAGCTGCCAGATGTTGTCCACTCTGAAACCCTCTCAGACAGCAATAGAGCCCTCTTACCCTTTCAAAGGGGGCTGGAGCACCTCTGCTATGAGGAGAGGCTGAAAGGGTTGGGGCTGTTCAGCCTGGAGAAGAGAAGGCTCCGGGGAGATCTTATTGCCGCCTTCTAGTCCCTAAAGGGGCTCCAGGAGAGCTGGGGAAGGACTTTTTACTAGGGCAGGTAGTGATAGGATGAGGGGGAATGGCTTTAAACTGGAAGAGGGCAGGTTTAGATTAAACATTAGGCAGAAGTTTTTCCCTGTGAGGGTGGTGAGGCACTGGAACAGGCTGCCCAGAGAGGCTGTTGAGGCTCCATCCCTGGAGGTGTTCAAGGCCAGGCTGGAGGTGGCCTTGGGCAACCTGGTCTGGTGGGAGGTGTCCCTGCCCATGGCAGGGAGGTTGGAACTCGGTGATCTTCAAGGTCCTTTCCAACCTAAACCATTCTATGACTCTATGAAAAGTGACTTTCTTCCACCTCTCACCCTGCTCCCCATTACTAGCTGCAGCTGACATGAAGGACTTAGTGTGTAGTCCAGAAACTGGTCACGAGGTGAAGACAGAGAGGCAGTGTGCAAGCCTGGGTTCCCATGGCGGAATGGAGAGTCCTTCACAGACACTTCCCACACTGAGGGAAAATGTCCCACATTGTCCACCATTGAGGCAATACTTGAGGTAATATTTGAGACAGTGTTTGAGGTAATACTAGGGGAAGCCACAGTTATTGCCCCTTCCTGAGCAGAAGGAAGAGAATGGTCAATCTGGAATGTAGCATTTACCAGGTAATAATTGCTGTCCCATACAGGAATTTGAAGAATTAAAGAGTGTAATTCTCTGTAAGGGAAACTGAAAAGCCTCCAGTTCCACCCCCTTCCTCACTACCACGTCAATTACGCCTAAATCTTTCCCAGAAGATGTAAAACCTTGTCATAAATGAGATCTCTTCTCCCTTATGCAATGTCTCCCACTCCTTCCCTGTCTTAGGAGATCTGATTAAAACATAGCAGAGCTTCTCTCTCAATGGAAGAATGCTGCAATGGAGCCTACCAGCAGGCTCTGGTAGACCCTGAAGTTCTCCAGAACTGTGTTTATTTTATTTTAGGTGAAATGTCAGTTGATTCTGGGCGTGGAAGATTCTACCTCTACTCTATCTGCTCATGGTGATATCACCTGCCCTTCTCTTTCTAGATCGACAGCATGCAGGCTCTGCTTCACTGCCCCAATGTGCTGGTGTGTGTCGGCCGGGAGCCATTTAAACCTGTATCGATGGAGAATTTGAGGAAACACTCGGTGGAGAAGCTGCCCGACCTGGCTCCCCGCTCCAACGGCAACAATGCCAATGAAAACAATGAAAGTAAGAAAAACTCTGGGGCATATTGCACAGTCACCTCCAGGGCTGTGTCCCACAACATGGGAGTTACGGGCACCTATTGTACGGCCCCAACGTGCAGATTTCATATGCAAAATGTACTTCCCTCTCTCTGCCTCCCAGGCCTTTCCATCCTCCCCTTCTTTTTCTCTGGTTTCCTTCTAGGATTTCCTCCCTACACCCTCCAGTCTTTCTTTTACATGCTCCCCATGTCTGGCTGACTTCCCTTCCTCTTTCATATCTCTGTGTCTCCTTTTCCTTCCAGAACTCCCTCCTTTCCTGTGTCTGCCTCCGAGACTCCCCAAACCCTTGAGATTTCCCACGAATCCTCTATCCCCTTGTCTGTCTGACATATAATGCTTGCACTTCTGCCTTTGCCGGCATCAGAGGATGCCCTGTTTTTGTCGGCAGGAGACTCAGTTTCTCCCGCGGGTTACACCTGCACTGTAGCCCTTTAGGAACAAAGCATGTTTTTGCGGAAAGGTTATGTTCAGGAAGGAGTATGCTGTGGGTTATTCAGAATGATATTTCTTAGTCACTTCATCATGAGTTATCTAAGGTCGCAGGTAATTAGCCCAGACACCTTTGGTAGCCTATGAAGAGAAACTTCCCATTTCCAGAGGGCAATTCATCTCATATATATTAGGGATTTGGTTTAGGATGAAATGAAGTGTGCTCTGGAGATGCACTTGTTTCTCTCTATTGTCAATACCAGGAAAGATTCACTCGTGTTGACAACTAGTTGTAGAAACTTAAGGACAGAGACATCCCACACTCGCTGCCTGAGACACAAAACATGGGAGGGGACCAGTGGGAATAAACTGAAACTCTTTGTCCATCAAGAAACTGAGCAAACATGTCAGTTCAAATGTATATCTAACCAGACAGAAGCTATTTCACGTTATTGATCTTGGTTGGTGCGCTCCCTGTTCAATACCTCCTTCCTATAATGCCCTCCATTTAGCTGCATATCCACACGCCCACAGAAGCACGAGGTTGTCTAGACATGTAAGACCAAGCTTTGAACAAACATATGTATTAGAAACAAGATAGATGCATATCTTGCAAGACAGCATGATAGCAATGTACTCTGCTTGAAAGGAGGGGTCCAGAACCTCAATAAGTCTATGCAGATCCCTGCACTGGGCCATAGAGATGCACTTAGGATGACAATTCTTAAAAGTCCCTTACTATCACTGATTTCCTCTATAACTACCACTGTTTCTCTTTGTAACTATCACCAGCTTACAATTCCTATTCCATTTGTTCTTTATATTTTAATGAGCCTTAAAACTATTCATAGTGGCACATCCCTGAGGGATGAAGTCCTGCTCTGGTCTACGTGGCCACACCTGTGTTTCCTGGCATGTGAGTGGGGAAGTGCATGATGCACAATCAATGTATGACTCTTCATAGCATCATAGAATGGCTTAGGTTGGAAGGAACCTTGAAGATCATCTGGGTCCGACCCCCCTGCCATGGGCAGGGACACCTCCCACCAGCCCGGGTTGCTCCAAGCCCCGTCCAACCTGGCCTTGAACACCTCCAGGGATGGGGCAGCCACAGCTTCTCTGGGAAACCTGCGGCAGGGGATCACCACCCTGAGAGTGAAAAATTTCTTCCTAATATCTCATTTAAATCTCCCCTCTTCCAGTTTGAAGCCATTCCCCCTCATCTTATCACTACATGCCCTTGTAAAAAGCCCCTCTCCAGTCTTCTTGTCGGTGCCCTTCAGATACTGGAAGGCTGCTATAATGTCTCCCCAGAGTCTTGACCTCTAACTAAGGAAAAGTCACTTCTTGTATTTTTCCCCCATTGAATATGAAGGACGAAATCTTGTACAGTTAAATAAAGGGACATTTACAATGTGATAAAACACAGAAACTTGGAGAACAAATTTCTTTGTATATATATTTTTTTCTTCCTGGTATGCACATAGAATCATAGAATCATAGAATTGCTGAGGTCAGAAGGGACCTTTAATATCAAGGCCAACCACTAACCTACCCCGACAAAACCACTGCTAAACCGTGTCCCTAAGCACCACCCTTTTTTAAACACCTACAGGGATGGTGAATCCACCCCCTCCCTGGGCAGCCTCTTCCAATGTTTGATAACCCTTTCAGTGAAAAAATTTGTCGTAATATCCAATCTAAACCTCCCTTGACATAACTTGAACTCTTTTCTTCTCATCCTATCACTTGACACCAGGGAGAAGAGGTCAGCCCCCACCTCTCTACACCCTCCTTTCAGGTAGTTGTAGAGAGTGATAAGGTCTCCCCTCAGCCTCCTCTTCTCCAGGCTGAACACCCCCAGTTCCCTCAGTTGTTCCTTATAAGACTTGTAACATGTAATACAACAAAAAAGGTTTGTGTTTCAATTTAGATTTAGAAAAACAATAAAGTTAAGGTATAGAAGATTTTAATACAGTTTATTCATTCAAAACTTAACATTTATGGCCGTCACTTAGTGAAAGCCCAATTTTCACAGTGTGTAAATCAGCATAGGCTTAGCTTTTATGGAATAATATCAGTATTCACTAGTTTGAGGGTATGATCTATATATTTGTGTCATCTTTATATGAACTAACATTTTCCTCCATCTTTCTTTTCTTTACCTGTTTCAAACTACAGTGAACTTTGGACTGAAAGCCAAAAAAAGTGTTATTCATCCACGGTCATCATCAAGCAATAGGTCAATGAGATTTTCTTTATCATCAGAAAAGTCATATCCTAATGGTCTCGCTGCCTCACCGGATAATGGCGCACCTTTCTCAAACAGTTGTTCACATCCAAAACCGGGGGACCTGGTCCATTCCTTGGTCAATGATGACATAGAAAAACGGGTACATGTGAACAAGGACGGTAGCCTGTCCGTTGAGATGAAAGTTCGCTTCCGCTTGCTAAATGATGAGACTTTGCAATGGTCCACCCAGATCAAAAAGTCCAATCTGATGAACCAGATGCCTTGTGAGGAGTCAGGTGTCGAGGACAGTGGAGTAGACCCCATACAGAAAATGAACCCAGAGGCCAGCTCAGAGGCAGATGAGTCATTGTATCCCTGTGATATTGATTCTTACATGTCAAAACTGGAGGAATCAGAATGTGATGAGGCTCATTGTCACAGCTGTGGCAAGAAACATCAGGACTATGACATTTGGAAAAATCCCATGCACACATCCCAGAGGGAAGAGCCCAGTGTACGGAGCACCTGGCACACACGGTCATCCTGCTCCAGCACATCTTCCCGGAGGAGAGTAGTCCACAAAAAAATGGCTTCTGTGGATAGCCTCCACACCACATCCAGTGAGGAATTCTCTGAGCACATCGTGCAAGAGTCCTCATCCTACTCAGAGACTATAGAGAACAGAGTGGCATATCGATCCATGAAAAAGTGTAGGTGTCGAAGTGATTTGTCTACAGGTGCTTCCAATGGAGAGGACCAGCAAGAATACACTCGGACAAGCACGAGCAATAGTCAGAGACGTTCATCCTTGGGCTTAATGTCACATTCAAGCTGTGAAAACAACCTGGATACTCAAGACGCCCCTGAAGACCATGAGGCCAGCAAAACCAATTCACAAAATGAAGATGAAAATTGTTTTGAAGTATCCTCTGTGAAGTGCTTAAAGGATGATGTGGAAGAGCTTGAAAGCAGCAGAGTTGGGAGTGTCATGTCAAGGTCATCTCTGCAGTCCAGACAGAGCAAGAAGAATGTGTGTGAGGAAACAAGTAGCGTGGGTAGGAGCATGTCATCATCCAGCCTTCAGAAGGCAAATCAAGAAGATAACACTAGGTGTTCCACCCCTGCCAACAGTGTGCACAGCAAGTCTAGTAACTGTACTACACCAAGAGCAATGCCTGAACAGGATGACCACTCTGATGACAATGCAGTGGTCTCTTCTGTCTCCAGTGAGTCCTGCCCTAAGAAAGAGGCTCAAGAGGTTGAAGACGAACAAGAAGAAAATGAAATCAGTGAAGTCAGCTCGGTGTCCGCAAAAACAAAGCCCAGCCAACCAATCAGAGATGAGAGCAGTGAAAGTGAACGATGCTCTACACAAGGAACCCCCTATTCCAGAGCTAGTGACAGGAAGAGCAAGAGAAGTGACAGTGATGAGATTGTTCAGTGCAATGCCTCTTGCTCTTCCAGAGGATCCAAAAAGAGCAAACACAGCCATATTCACTTGGATGCACAGTCTGAAATGTCTGTGTCTTCACTTGGATCCACTCCAAATAAAAA